AAAAAAAAAAAAGAACTTGATATTAGTATCCTTTTTGTACTGAATTGATATCTTCTTTACACTTCCCACAAAAGCTTATATATTTTAATATTTGAAAATACTTTACATTGGTCATTCTCATTTCCCTAAAACGTAACAAAATTAAAATTTCCAAAGACAGAAGTTGTAAAAAATTTAAAATTCTGTTATCATTAAACACTACTGATCAAATAAACATACTATAAATTAAAATCACTATAAAATAGCAAAAATAAGATTTTGTTGTAAATATGAATTGTGTCATTAACAACTGGGTAAATATTGGTGAGAAATTGGGGGGGAGGTGGGAAAAGAGGAAGGAGATAATTGAGCTCTTGTGGTATCTCATTTTTATTCACAATGGCCTTTAAGCAGGATACTTTTTTTTTAAATGCCTGGCATCAAGAGTATTTAAGTCAAACAAACATTTTGCTAATAAAATCCAGTTTTTAAACAGTTCCAACTGAGAGGTGTATATTTTAAAACAAAAACAGATCCTTTTACCAGACTTGAAAAATACTGTTTTGCAATTTTCTCTACACTCAGAGAAAAAAAATTTTCCTTGCATTTTTAAGTCGTTCTCAGTTATTAATGTTCAATAATAAAACACTCTGACATCTTCAATTAAAGTCTAGATTATCACTTTATTTCTGATGACTCTGGATGTCTCAACTGATTTTAAGATTGTTCAAAGGTTTGCTGGCCCAAATGTACAGTACTGCTCTGATGGATCGTCCTTAAATGGAAAATTCATAAAGCCCATCATAAAAGCAATCAAAAAAGTTAAGGACCGATTCTTGCTCAAAATATTAAAAGTATTGCTCTGATTTTTGCTTGAAATATTAAAAATATTGCTCTCTTCCATCTCCCAGACCGACAAAATGAAGCAAATGATCTCCTGATTACATTTTCTTTAAAATATAGATGTTAAATTTCCTTCTAAACTATCTTAACTTTAAATTGCAGTCTTCCTAACAGCTGTGAATTTTCACTTTAAATCACAAGGAGGCTTAACAATAAGAATGTATTTTGAAGTAAACCCTTCGGTTGAACCACCCTACAGAGCTGACAGTTGGGCTAATTAAGGCACAGGCAGAAAATCCTTCCAACAGAACACTGACAAAGTTTAGGCCTTCAGGTGACAAAATACTACTCCAGGGGTGCAGAGGGGTGTCAGTGTGCTAAATAGTGGTTCATGACCACAAACTTTCTAATTAGTGTTGTGTCTGTTTTTTATTTAACCAAAAATACCCTACAGGTTCGGAGGTCACTTCTGTCTCTAACCACAAAGACTATAATGAATTCGTGACTCCACAGCTTAGGACTGTACCATCTAGAAATAAGCAAAGGTGGCAGCAACTCTAGGGAAGCTGGGTATAATCCACAGCTTCGTCATCTCGTCTCCTCCTAGTTCACAAGTTGAGCAGTATGCTGGAGCCCCCGTTTGTTTGTTAATAACTATGGGACCTTAGCAAATCCTCTAATCCGGGCTTCAAGTGACCGCCTGAGGGACTGAAACGCGCCGAGAGCCGCGGCCGGGTCTTGGAGAGGGGGTTAAATGGCTTCCGCTAAACGCGAATCTAGTATCCAGCCAGTCTCAAGGAGGAGACAACGCGGTACACCCCAAGAGCTCCAAGAAGCTGAGTCCAAAGACCACCCGCTGAGTGAAAGGGACGCGCTAGAGGGCGCCCCCAAAGGCAGCCCTCACCCCACAGCCACCGCGACCGACACCGCTCTTACCCAACGCCACTCCGCCTTCGCACGTCACCGCCACCACGCCCCGCCCCGCCGCAGAGAGTCACGGGATGCGTAGTCTGCGAGGCGCCCCCGGCCCCTCCTCCCTCGGGCCCTCCCAGCTCCCTCGGGTCCCACTTCCGGTTTTCTCGCGCCGCCCTGGCGCCGAGCCCGGGGACAAGTGGCAGCTATTCCACGGCCCTGAGGCGCTGGCTCACCCTCCCACAACCCCCCTCGACAACGCCTCCTCTCCGCAGCGCGCGGCGCGCGGGTCCTGACGCGGTCAGCCGGCCGGGGTCTCGCGCGCGCGCGTGTTGTCGGGAAACGGGCCTTCCCCGCGCCGCTGGCCCCTCCTGCATCGGCTCGCCCCTCCTTCCAGAACTCCGGGGTCGCAGTCGGAGGGCCGGGCTGCGCCACGGCCGAGGCCGAGGCCGAAAAAATGGGAATCTCTCCGCGGTGTACCCGGAGCCGCTACTTTTTCGGGGGAAGCAGCTGTGTCTTCGAGGAAACCGGAAGCCCGTGGTGACCCCTGACGACCCGGTTTGTTTTCGGTCCTTTTCCAAACAATTGGGGAATCGAAACTCAGCGGCCCTGGGGGCGGCCCTACGTTGCCTGGGTTCAGGGTGAGTGAATGAGTCGGGTCGGGTGCAGGCTGTGGAGGTGCGGCCATGCCGGGACCAGCCTTCTTACTGTTACTGGTCTAAGCGACGCGTCATTTCCCCGTACCCTCTTACGCGCCGCTCCTTGACCTGGGAGAGGCCCACCCTAGGCACTCCTTGCTTCCAGGCTCAGCACCCTACCTAGCTGCTGCCGACCACTCCTTGTCCTTCACTTGTCACCTGTTAGTGTACATTTTCTTTCTGTACTCTGTTGTGCTGGGGCGCCTTCAGTTTCGATTCATTCGTCGAAACGGCAGATATGTGAAAGGAAGGAGGGACATTTGACCAGAGCGGTGCTGCTGGAACCTCAGCCGCTTGCACTAGGGCTAGCCTAGCTATTCATCGTTTCTCCAGTGTCTAGCGCACGTATTACAGTCCCGTTTTCGGTTATTTCTTGCAAGATAGGCTAACACCTTCGTTCCCTACGCACAAGGAACTCGAATAATGCTCGAAAATGAGATAAAATACCCACAAAACGAATATAAATCAAAACATAAATTGCTCTAGACGTATTATGTTAGAAAAACCCTAAGATGAACAAAGACACTGAAATAGTAGGGTTGAAATTGACCCTTGATTCTTCAACATAAGCACCTTTGGGATTTGAAGTTGGATTGAGCAAAATCTATAAATTACAGTTCTCTAAGAACGCTGTAATTGCTCAATCTGTTATGATTACACCATCATCTGTAAACTGGGAATAGTGGATACTTAAAGGATGGTTACAAAATTTGAATGTAATATTGGCTGTAAATGATACATTGTATGTAAATGTAAGGTTTTATTATTAAAGAGACTGCTTAGTGTAATGAGAAATGGCACTGGATTAGGTCAGACCACCAGGATCTAAGTGCTGGTTTTTCTGTGTATTTATTTGACAGTCGGTAATAGGCTAAACCTTATCCTCAGTTACACTACCGCTAAGATAAGGGTATTGCCTACTCTAAGACACTGAAACATACTTTATGGAGTCATGCTGGCCCTTGACTCAGCTATCCATGTGCTGTACAAGTTACAACAGCTGTAAAATGTGGAGGTTCTTGCCCACCTCAAAAGTTTTACATAGATACAGTGAATTCTTATGAAGAACAGAAGAGATAGTTCCCCTAAAAGCTGAAGCACATTGCCTGGCATATTATACAAGACTCGATTAATACTAATTACCAATACAAAATATTGTCATGATTATTAAAAGTAAAATAACATGATTTTTTTAATCCGTAAGGAACAAATGAAACTTTTTACATTAAATCATTTATGTTCTGAACCAAAAAGTAGTGGTTCTGTCCTTTTTAGAACATAATTATTAATAAGATCAGTAACAGTTAATGTATAATTGGTGCTGAGTTGCATTGAAATACATTACTTTAAGAAAGGAATGAAGAGAAGTAGTCTCCTCTTTTCATATTGTGCTGTCCCTGAAAGAGTCTTATGTTTCTGTGGCCACACAAACTGATTTCTAGTCTAAGGCAATTAGTGAGTTAGTGAGGATCATAAAAATGAAAGTGGAGCTTTTCATATTGTTTATGTGATGCTGAATACATGAAAGAGGCTTATATAAGTAATAAAACCAAAGGCTACCCATAGCCTACTTTGTTACTTTTTAACAGTTTTCTTTTTAGTACAATAATAAATATAACAGAACATCTGCGTTATATTATTTGGTTCCTTTCAAAGATATTATTTTCCTTGGCCTTACAGCTTTTAACCAGTATACAGAGTAATAGGATAGATAGTAGTATTGTGATACATTATGTATTTTTCCAGGGATAGAAATTAAAATTCTCATTTTTATTTTACAACTAATTTAAGTGACAGTTTAAAGCTTAATGAAACGTAATGGTGTCTGTGGTGCTAGTAAATGTCTTGTGTATGTTACATGACTTTCATAATTCTTATGACAGATAAGCAATTTTCATATTTTCTCAATCATGTGTATATATAGAATAAAAATATAGAATATCAAACTTGAAGTGTTTTACTGTAAATGTTTTCTTATAGAGATCACCCATATGAAATTTTTTGATTTAAAAAAAAAGCTAACATAAATACATAAAATGGACAAGTCTGACTACTCATTTTGTCCTAAGAATGATGTTATCTTGTATAAAATGTGACATTGTTGACATTGTTGTGTGAGCACACACCCCCCCATCAAAAATACCTATAAACCTTCTGTAAGGTTCCTAGTTTTATAGTTCTTTGTAAATATAAAGTTTTATAAAAGATTCAATAGAAAAGGAAAATAGTAATAGCTTCCACTTTGAAATTTAAGTGCCTTTGTTACATATTAATTATCTGATCATAGATAACTTTCATGACCTTTTCTGGGTGCGACTTTTCTCATCTGTTAAATGGGCTTAATACGATTTTACCACAAAAAATTTACTTAATTGAGTAGTCATGAAAATTAAATGATAAGATTTATAAACAGCACAACACTAAGTAGTTCATTTAGTTGTATTAATCAGTATTGTGTTACTATAATGAAATACCTGAGATGGGATACTTGGGAAGAGAAGGTTACTTAGCTCCCAGTTTCTGAAGTTTGAATCCAAGATCAAGTGGTCCAATAGATTTTGGGCCTCTACCAAGGCCATATGTAGAAGCAAACTATTCAAATCAGAAGCCAGGAAGCAGAAAGAAAGGAACAGTACTGGACCAAGGTCCAAGAATTCCCTTTGAGGGCACATCCTCAAAGATCTGTGGATCTCTTAAGGCTCCATCACTTGAAGGTGACAGCACTTAACCAGTGCTCCACCCCAGAGATTGGATCTTTGGATGACACTTATCCAGACCATAGCAGTTGTCAGTATTTTTAGTAAGTGTATGTAAATATTCTCCACATTCTAGTCATGTCTTTTTAAAAATTCAGATTAAAAAACAGTCTATAGCTTGTATCATAAAGGAACATCTCAGTTTTTTTTATCATGTCTTTCTAATCTTATCTCCCACTTTTCAACCTTCCTCCCCACACTCTTTGAGTTCTTTGAACTTGTTCCCCATGCTAGAAGTTAGCAGACTGTAAAGTACAATAAAGACAATGAAAATACCCTGTTCATTTGAGAGTTTGAGTGTAAGAATATTTTGATGTTTTGTGATACCTTTGAAAACCATTCCTCCTTCCTTCTCCCTACCTCCAAAGCATGTTCTATTGTTTCAAGTATATTACCTGCAATTATAGTATTTTTTTTTTTTTGGCACAACAATCTCCCACACTGGGTTTTCTTGCTTAGTAAATTATTGTTTCGTGATAAAAATGAATTAATACAGAAATTGCAAGTGAGCTACTTAGAACTTTCTGAAAAGCAAAAACGCAAAAGCTCAGATTCTTCTCAGATACTTCTCAGAGTATGCAAACAATGGAACATCTATTTTGACATTGTAGAACGGTTGATGCTGTTTATATGTCTTCAGCAATTTTTTTTTAATTCAAATTTTACCTCTGTTTAGACTGCATCCCACCACTTAATTAGCCATCTACTCTTACTGTACTTTTTTTGGTACAGGGGCTTGAACTCAGGACCTTGTGCTTGCAAGGCAGGTGCCAGAACCACTGAGCTAAATCCCTGGCCCTCTTACTCTACTTTTAAAAAATGTATGTGTGTGTGGATGAATCTTATATGCAGATACATATGCATACTTGCAGTTTGCAGTATTGGAAATAACCCATATTTTTCTTTTGTGAAACAAATACTGAAGGTTTTGACTAGCAACAATTATGTTTGGGATGATGATTACTACTATTTTGGAATAGAGTTTAATCTAGAGAGGAGAAATGTAAATCCCATTAAACAATTTATTATTAGGACAAGGTTGGCTTGCATCCAAATAAACATGAGTTAATTATGGTAATGAGAATTTGCCACATGTGGATACTGTAAAATAGCATAGCCCAGTCTTGTTGGACTTTATTCATAAACTGAGAAGTATTCTAATTTAAGAGTAGGAGTTGTATTGGGAGGTGAGGGTAAGGGGGGGGGATGATATAATTGGAGTATGTTCTATGCATGTGGAAATGACACATTAAATCACATTATTTTGAATAATTAATGTACACTAATGAAAATGTATGAGTAGTTTTCTTATATGGTTAAAAACTTTTAAATTCGGGTTTATAAGTTTCATCTACTTAAGGGCCGAGAATTTAGCTCAGTGGTTCCAGTGCCTGCCTCGCAAGCTCAAGGTCTCAAGTTCGATCGCCGGTACCAAAAAAAAAGGATAGAGAAGTTTCATCTACTTAAGAGTTGGAGTATATACATTGATTTTTACCAACCTGTCCTGAATTCTACATAGGTAAATCACTTAGACACACCAAACTCTGAGTTCAGTTGACAGCAGTTGGAAGTTTTTAGTTATAAATTACAAAAGCAAAAGTATAGCAAAAGTAGATCAGACTCAGAAAATTACAAGTAAAACTTTTCATTAATGAAGTATTCATGTTGTCTGAAATAAGTTTTAAAAAGAAAACCCACTTTATAGGCATTAGTTGATGTACAAAAGAAGTTTTGGTAGAAAGCAGGCATAGTGAACCATGGACTGTGGAGTTAAATTAGTTCCGTTAACATCTCAACTCTCCACTAATTACTTTGGAAAACCGACTTGAATTCCTTCTGTTTCATTTTCTTTATTTGTAATACTCTTAAAGAGTGACTAATAACTTTCATATCAAGAAAAGAATAGCAAAATTTTTAGTAATCATTAATTAACCTAAGATACATGAAATTCCATTGATCATCTTTATTTAGAATGCTATATTTAGTATTTATTTAAACTAAAGAATATTTAGAAAGATTTTTTAGATTCTCATACTCAGTTTTTTTCCCCATACCTTCTTACAAGACTTCAGCTACAGTTTTCTTTTTCCATAGTGTTTTCCACGCTCAGGTGGTGGAGTAATGCTAAATTGAATAACAAAAGTAAATGTACAGAGTGAGAATATTTTTTATTAAAGGAACTGAACTTGCAGTCAGAGTTTGATACAACTCTACTTTATCCACTCTTCCTTCAATAATCAATATTTATTGAACCTCTTCTACACACTGATGAGTTGGGACCATAACAGTGAACAAAATACATGTAGCCTCTGCCCTCACAGAACCTAAGATTCTACCTATAGCCATAACTAGGCAAATTACTATAAAGTAATTTTATAGTAAACCTTGTTACTATAAAACATGAATGATCTTTGCCTCACAGAATCGTTTGTATCATTAAATTAGTTAATACAAAAAGAATGTGATAGGCCTGGTGATGTAACTCAGAAGTGGAACACCTGCCTACCATGTGCAAAATTCTGCGTTTGATCCCCTGCACCACCAAAAAAACCAAAAAAAATAATGCATGTAGACATAGTGGGCATTCAGATGTTAATCAAGTTGTCTTTTATTGTGAATGCATGAGAAACGTAACTAATTGTACTAGTATGGAAAGTATAGTATACTATGCCTTAAAAATTCTATAATATGTCATAATTATATTCAAAATTTTTTTTAAAATTTATAGTTTGAAAAGGTATAAAACTTGTTATTTATAGATGTAAGATGAACCAGAACTAAAGGCATAAAAATTCTGATTCTTTCAATGAAAACGGTATTTTGCAGATTTTTATAAAATTTCCAGAAATAGATTATAGTTTTAAATCCTTTATTGCTATTAAGCATTATTCTTAAGACTATGAGATAGTTGCTTACCTGAGCTTTATAAATAAGGCAACTGAGGCAGAGATTTTAAATAATTTGTACAAACTCAAACAGACTCTACAGGATAGAACTTGGATTACAACCCAGGCAGCTATGCTCTTAACAACTGTGCAGTATTGGTTCTAAAAGAAAATTGGCATTTTAAACACTGTCTCAGTAAGTCACTTCTAAATATATCTTTTTTTCTGGCTCATTTTTTAAAATAGCTGTCATGGATGCACTGGTAGAAGATGATATCTGCATTCTGAATCATGAAAAAGCTCATAGAAGAGATACAGTGACTCCAGTTTCAATATATTCAGGAGATGAGTCTGTTGCTTCACATTTTGCCCTTGTCACTGCTTATGAAGACATCAAAAAACGACTTAATGATTCAGAGAAAGAGAATTCTTTCCTAAAGAAAAGAATAAGGTTTTTGGAAGAAAAGGTAATTTTTTCTTCTACCTTCATCATGTTTTATGACATAAATAGTAATTTAAAATATGTGATATGTTAAGTATTTTCTGCCCTGTATTCCTTCATTGTACTAAATTTCCAGGGACAACTTACTATGCATACCAAAATTCTTGGGCACTAAACTTACCATATTGTGTTTCATTTATCATGTGCTTAGCAAATATTTTTAGAACAGGATTTAAGAATTTGGATAAGTTGTATTTCAGATATGGTTTTTTTCTTTTCTCAGATTGCCTTACCTTCATAGCTGCAAAAATCTTATTCAGAATGTTCAAATCTATGCAAAAAAGTGGCATACCAGTGAAGGCAATTAAGTGTAAAAGGAGGAAGTTACTAGAACCTTAGTTTAATATGTTTAATAAGTTCTTCACTAAGATCAAAATCTTTATCTCTACATTCCCTTTTTTCTTCCACACTTAGTAGAAATAATGCTTTTAACTGATAAATGTCATGTATTTTTTCATTCAGAATGCTGACACTTATAAATGTTATGAAATACATCGCAAGGTAGCTAATTCAGTATAAATTACCACTCTTACTTGATTTTATAAATTGAGAAATCTATAAAAGAGATCATTTCTTTAGTTCCTTTCTAGAGAAGTTCTCTGAACATATAGAGTACCGGAAACCACAAGGAAGAAGCACAGTGTTCTCTGGCTCTTGGTGTTGCTTTGCTGCAACTGCCATTTGCGTTGATGATTGGTCTTCTCATCCTTTGGAGGAATAAGAGGGAGTGGATGTGGCTGAGTCAAAAAACAAAAACTTCAGGATGGAGCTTGGTAGAGTTCAGTTCATACAGAGTTGAAGTAAAATGAGGGGAATCAGTTTTTAAAATTGTCATAATTTCTTTCTATTCATGTGTATTTAATAGTGATTAAATTTGTGATATACTGGGATAAAGTGAGAGAAGGTAACATTTTGGAGCTCATAGCTATGTTTATTTTAAAATTCAGTAGAAAAATGAAATTTGGTGTATAACGGAAATAATTCTTTACTTTGTGACTGACAAGCCTATTAATTTTTATTCTATAGTAATATAAGATTTAATAAACTGACATGTCTTTTTCTGTAAAAGATTAAATATGATTTTTTTTTTCATGATAGAAATGTAACACTGTAGACTTGAAAAATGCCTAAGCACTTCAAAAGAATGGTGTACTATGTTGTAGTATGATGATTTAATATATTATAAAACACATACTTTAAAGTATAAAATACTAATTAAAAGTGTAGAAAAATTATAAAAGTATTCTGTACTTTTTTTTGCCCTCTCAAACAGTAAAGATTAATTGCTTAGAAATGAAATACCTTATTATAGGTTGGGCTTTTTCCTACATTACAACAATTAAAGTAAGATGTAGAGCCATCAGATTTATTTTTCCCCATAGTATGTCCTATTAAGCTTTCTTTTCTAATTTCATACCATTAGCTTGTAGGAGCTCGATTAGATGAAGAAACAAGTTCTGTGGGACGAGAACAAGTAAATAAGGCCTATCATGCATATCGAGAGGTTTGCATTGATAGAGATAATCTGAAGAGCAAATTGGATAAAATGGTAAGTTGGTTTGAAAAAAAACTATGTTACAAGTGAGTTTTCTCTTTCAAGATGTTTAAAAATAAAGAGGTTAAATATTTGCATTTATTAATTAAAAATTTAAAATATACATGTTCAAGCCCAAATGGAAACTTTTAAGTTGTATTTGTAACTAATTTCAATACAAAAATAAATAGTTTGTAATGATGTTCAGACTTGAATACATCTAACACCACTAATTTATTTTGAAAACTCATGACAGTAGTCGAAATGTGTTTATAAGAAAAAAGCTGGTGAGTAATAATATCCTGAGACAAAGAAGGGAGATTAGTGAGAAACTGAGTTCATTTTCCCATATAGCTTTAAAAGGCCAGAATGAGGTTTTTTTAGTATCTACCTGAAAATTAAGATATAATACCAATATATAGATTCTATTGAATGTAATCTGGCATTTTCCCTACTCAAATAGAATAAGGACAACTCTGAATCTTTGAAAATATTGAATGAGCAGCTACAATCTAAAGAAGTAGAACTCCTCCAGCTGAGAACAGAGGTGGAAACTCAGCAGGGTATGCCACTTACTTGTTATAAAAATGCTCACAGAATACTTTTTAAAAATTTTGTGTGTTATACTATCAGTTTCCTATATATGTATTCCATGGCCTTAACTTATTTTTAACTTACGGTCTATGTTAATTTTTCTGTTATGCTTTCACACAATATCAGTTTGGTTTTTCTTTTAACTTTTTCTTAGCTAGAAACTATACTTTTTAAAAAATTTGATGGCTTTTGCTCAGGGCTAGTTTTTGATGAAGTAGAGGAGGAGAGGAGTCAAACCCCAGCTTCAAATCAAAATTTCTATCTCACTGGTTATGTCCTGCCTTACCTTTTTTACTGCACTTTTTAGAAACGTTTTCATGGAGTACTTTCATTTCCTTTTCTATTTATCTCTTTTTTTTTTTTTTTTTTGCGTTTTCAGTTATTTTGGTTATTTCCTTGGTTGTTTTTTTTGCTGAATTTTTAAAAATTATTTGTTTTGAGCATTCATTTTTTCTTTTTTTTTTTCAATTGTTTGTTTTTCAGACCCGAGTCAGAGCTCCATCACAGGGGAACACAGCCAGCTGTTAGGTATAGTATCACTGTGGGAACTGACTCTAAAAAGTCACCTTTTACCTGCTTGTATTAACATATATTACTTACTCCCTCATGTAATTCTATTTTTGACCCCCCTTTTTCTGCTTCTCACCCATCAGTTATTTTCTTGCTGTTTCTTTTTCTTTTTTTTGTACCGGGGATCAAACTCAAGACCTTGTGCTTGCAAGGTAGGTGCGGGGCCACTGAGCTAAATCCCCAGCCCTTTCCTGCTGTTTCTGTTTCCAGTTTAAGCATTAAGAAATTAAGAAATTCTTAAGCATTAAGAAACTACTACTGTAATTGATAACTAACACTCAATTTAGTTACTGCATTAAAAATTAATTATATGGTTAAAAAATCTTAAATTTTTTCCAAGATAATTTTGCAAAGACAACATTGTAATATTCGGTAATATTTTGGACTTTATCCCTACTCTTCTCCTTTTAATACTTTTCTTGGCCTTTTGTTCACCTTCATTTTAATTAGTAAAAGTACCTCATAAACAATATGGCTTTAGGCAATCCTTAGAAACTGGTGTTCCAATTTCTTACATGTGAAACAAGTTATGAAAGTGAATTGATTTCCTCTAGGTGTTGGTTATTTAAATTGCAGTAAACTTATAATTTCACAATTCCACAAGCTTTCACAACAAACTTATAAAATGTAAAAATAAGGCATACTCTGGTAAGGAATTCAGGCAATAAAGAGGTTACATACATAGAAGAACGCAAAGGTCTTTGGAAGTATCTCTTCGTGTCTCACCTCCGTTCCCCCCAAAGTACTTGCTATTTCTTGGAAATTCTAGAAAATTTTATTGTTTTTTCTTTTTTATATCAATGGAGTTAAAATATACAGACTGTTCTGTTCTACTGTACAGACCTCCCCACCCCCAGTGCTGGGGATCAAACCCACAGACTGTCTTTTTCACTTAACATTTTATCTTGAGACATTTTGTCTACACATAAAGATCACCTCATAAATTTGTTTATGGTTGGATAGTATTTCATTATACACCTTTGCTCTAATTTTACTCAGCCAGTACACTCTTCATGAGCATTTAGGTTATTTATAGGTATGTTATGTTTCTCTTACAAATAAGTTTGCATTAAACATCATGCATTTGTATCCTTATATTCTCATTGCCTGTATGTTTACAGAATAAATTCCTAACAATGGAATTCCTTACTCAAGGCATTTACATTTTCAAAAACATAAATCACCACAAATTCCTGCCAATACTAATAAGGGCAATGGAGGAACTCTTAGCTCTGCATTATCGAAAGCTGGCATATCAATTTAAAATTTTTTTTTTACTAATAGGTGAAAATGGCATTTCTAGTTTTTATTTA